CAAGTAGCAAATTAGCAGTTATGCTAATTTTTGGAAGGATCCTTAAATTTTCCCCATCATCTACAACTCATTTAGAAATCTAAGCTGGAAAGGAAGTATAACGGAGTTTCCCAATGGCGACCGAACTCCTATAAAGTTCTTTAAATAAATAGCGTATGACTCCTTAACTTTGTTGAATTTGACAAGAATACTGTTATGGAACAATACTGTGTCATACACTCTTAGAGCAAATTCTAGCAAAATTGAGAAGGATATCATAAAAAGGGATTATCAAAGCCATCATTTAGAGTTGTAATGCAGGTGACTAAACTCCTCCTAACTTATGAAGTTTGCCTTCGGAAACACTGCAGCTCCGCATTTTCGCGCGGAATCGTAATTTGCCAAAATTTTCTCCTTGGAGACAATTACGAGTTTATCAAAAAAGAGCAGTTGTAATCATTTCAAAGTGAGAAGTAATGTCAGAGTAACATCACTTTCCGAAAGTAGGTGTGAATCAAGTAAATTTTACAAATCAGAAATAAGGTATTCGCCAATCTAGAACTACCTCCTCATTCGCATATAAACTTGATGACTGGCACGGCCAGCTCGCGAGTGTTTCTTTAGTGTACCGACTACTTTGCGATGGCTGACGCTGGAGGCTGACCACTGGGAGCGCCGAAGACGACGCGTGAAAAATGAAAGGAACTATTTAGCACGACGGTTGGTTAGCTTTGATTTTGGCAGAGCCACTTTTGACTTAGCCTTTGTACAGTGACGGGTAGGATGGCCAGTAGGCCAAATAACTTCTGTATATAAAATATGTAAGTATTCTGCTCCAATATTGTGGCTTTTATTGTCTTTGGTGAAGTCTAAGGACTCTACACAAATATGCATATAAAAGGACCAATAACAATAAAAAGGGCATTTTTGGAACTTGGGATCATAATAATAACAATGAGTTTCATTAACATATGCCTAATGTTATTTAATAGTAGTATGCATACAGGTAGACAAGCCTATAAAAATGTATATTTTCTGTAAAGCAACCATTTTAAATATTTGGGTAAATCATATTTTACTACTTCATAATGGCTTTTTAAAACTTTTCATTGACTATAATTATTCCGACATTGCCTTCCTAGGTCATTATTCGCATGAAAAATTAATTAGCCTATTGGCTCATTTACTTGATTTATTGGATTTGTTCAACGTTAATTCTATGATATTACTGCCAAATAATGGCAGTCAGTCCCTTCTCAAACAAGAGTGTCTCTCCTTTTGTGGGTGCGGATAAAGAAGGCCTATTGTTTTTGTCTCTGCGCATGTTGCTTCAAGTTGTCAGAGAATTAGTAAATG